AGTCACCATCAATATTATTTGAGTTGTTATTACCGTTTCTGTTGTTTTTCTTACCGCCAACTGTATTAATCATTGCTGTCATTGTATTTATTATCATTACCATATTGTTGCTTTTACTTTTAATGTTATTATTACCATTTTCATCAAGATGACTACTGCCATTCTGATTGCTATTTTCCTTATTCTATTATCATTACTTGCGAACTTTTATTATTTTTATTAAAATAATTACTAATTATCGTTATTACTATTATTATTATCCATTTTATTATTGCTGTTATTATTATTATTATTACTATTATTATTATTATCACTATTATTATTATTATTATTATTATTATTATCATTATTATTATTATTGTTATTTATCATTATTATTAACATTATATCTATTATCATAATGATTATTATTAGCAGTAGTAGTATCATTATTATTATTGCTATGATTATTATTGTTATTATCATTATTATTAACATTAAATTTATTATCATAGTAATTATTATTAGCAGTAGTAGTATAATTATTATTATTATTATTGTTGTTGTTATTATTACTATTATTATAATCATTATTATTATTATTATTATTATTATTATTATTATTATTATTATTTATTACTACTACTACTACTACTATTATTATTATTATTATTATTATTATTATCATTATTATTATCAGCATCTGTATTGTTATTAGTAATGTCATTATTATCATCATTTTTTTTTGTATTACCATTATTATTATTATTATTATTATTATTATTATTATTATTATTATTATTATTATTATTATTACCATCATTATTATCATTATTATTATTATTATTTCTATTATTATTATCATCATCATCATTATTATCATTATTATAATTATTCTTGAAATAATCATTAGTAGTAGTAGTAGTAGTAGTAGTAGTAGTAGTAGTATCATATAATTTTAAATGATTACTATTATCATTATTATTATTATCATTATTATTATTATCATTATTATTATCATTATTATTATTATTATTATTATTATTATCATTACTATAATTGTAATCGTTATTATTATTGTTATTATTACTACTACTACTACTACTACTATGAAAATTATTAATATTATTGTCATTATTATTATCAATGTCATAATTATTTTCTTTGTTACTATCAATATCATTATGATGAATATTATCTTTGTTATTATCATTATTATTATTATTATCATTATTGCTATTATTATTATCATTATTATTATTATTATTATTACTATTATTGTTATTGCTATTATTACTATTATTAGTATTGTTGCTGTTACTATTATTATCATTATTTTTATTATTGCTATTATCAGTATTATGATTATTATTGTTATTATCATCATTAACATTGCTATTATTACCATCTGTATCATTAACATTACTATTGTTATTATTATTATCATTATCATTGTTATTATTATCATCATTATTATTGTTATTATTAGAGCCATCATCATTATCACTATCATAATCTCATTATTGTTATTATTAATAGTATAGTATAATGTTTTTTGTATTGTCTTCATTATTATCAGCAGTAGTATTGATCAATATTAATAATAATAATTTAGTTTAATTCACTTATTATTATTATCTTATTATTATCATTACTATTATCATTATTATTATCATTACTATCATCATTATTATCATTGTTATAATTATTATTATCATTATTATCATTTCAATTATTATTATTATGTTTACTATCATTATTATTATCATGTTTACTATCATTATTATTATCATTTCTAAAAATAGTATTAGTATCATTATCACTACTTTCAATATGATTAGCCTTACTGATATTGTTATCATTACTATCATTATCATTGTTACTATTGTTGTTATTATCATTATCATTATAATCATTATGATTATCATCATTATTATTATAATTATTACTTCTTGCCTCCTCTCTCCCTCTCATTTTCCCTTCCCGGCTCTTTCGCAAATGCACTTCCTACTTTGAGCCCTACATCTGCCCCTCCCACTTCTCTCCTTTTCCTCCTTCGCACCCTTATTCCCTTCCTTCACTCCCTCCCCCATCCCCCTTTTCTCTCTGAGCTCCTTCTCCCTTTTCACTTACCCATTCCCTTTACTCTTTGTACCCTCCGTGTTCCCTTCCCCATGTTTTCCTCTTTAAGCCCCTTCCTTTCCCTTTCTTCCCCTCTCCCTTTTTTCTTTAAGTCCCCACCCCTTTCTTTCTCCTTCTCCTCCTACCTTCCCTCGCTATTTCAACAACAGTAATAATAATAATAAACTATTTTGCATCAAAATAAAGTCTAGTTGCAGCTATTTACACTATTATCATTATTATTACCATGATTACTGTGTCGAAATAACCAAACTTGTGACTCCTCTGCGTTGTGAGGACATAATTACGCCTTGAAGTTTCCTAAGGGAAAAAAGTATCATCACTCACCATCTCCAGGTAGTGAAGCCAAGCATCGCTTTCCGATCGCCTCGCTCGGTAC